TGGCAATTCGGATTTCGGATGCTTCCGAACTTACGAATTTCAGGAAATTCGGACGAATTTCGATTCGTAACGAAACGAATCGCACATGTCTATCGCAGGTTCAGACCCAGATTTTCGGCTGACAGTCCGGTCTTTAAACACTTTAACAACAGCTGCTCTTGAACATGTAACTAATTCTGCTGTTTTGCTGATACTCGCTCCATGGCTCCGAGCGCCAACAATCATCCCACGTTCAAAGGCTGTTAAATCGCGTTGTTTCCCCGTATCTTCAGAAACAAATCACTTCTACTGTCGTGGTAAACAACCTGCTTCCCTATTTATAATGGTCTGGCCCTCTAGCAACTTCAGCGCCAAATTATAGCTAATTTGCCTACAAACGTCAGGTGGTCATAATAATCTGGCCACTCAGTGTATATAAAACAACACACCCAAAAAAAATTTTTCTATTTTTAATTTTAGTTTTATTTAACTTTTTGTGTTTGTATTTTATTTTATTTTTTGAACTTTTTACAAACATTTTGTAGCCTTTTTTAATTTTAATTTTTGTAATTTTAGTTTATTTAACTTTATCTTTTTAAATTTGGAAATTTGGATATTTCAAATTCCAAAAGCAGGCTGTCAATCAGGAGGGATATTAAGTTCTTTATCAGGTCCTCATCTGCTGATTGACAGCAGGCAGTGACAGCAGCCATACCCAGCCTGCTATTAGATATTTTAAAATGCAACAGCCAATAGCAGACTGCCTATTGCAGGCTGGCTAATTGGCTAAAGGCTTGCACCTGACCACAGATCAGGTGCAACACTTTGCCCAATCAGGGCTCAGTATACCCGATACCACTACTGATATGATTATTGGTGAATCCCTAAAATCTTCCAAATCAATACATGGCTGTATTCACTCAATATATAGTCCCTAATCATTAAAACCACTGCAGAGATCATAACCAAAGTGCTTCAGTACAATAACTAAATATGGTGTTCAATGTACATGGTGAACCATCCTACTCCCAGTAGTTTACTCCCTCAGTTTAGATTGGATGAACTCAGTCATCTCGTGGAGTCATCTCGTGGCCCAACGAAGTACTGATGGGGTGGTCATAATATTACTTTGTGCACTCAGTGTATATTGGCTTACAGTTTTACAATTCACATTATTTTAAATCCATTAAACCAATTAATGACCACCAATAAGTAGTAGTCACACCGCGCTTGGTATCTCAGGTGGTCAGCCTTTTATATCAATGCACATGTGTCCTTCTACCTGCCATTTTTATTTTTAGAAGTCACTCAAAGTGGGATCAAGCGCTTTCGGGGCCGCACAGGGTCCCCTTCATCAGGCTTAAAGTGAACATGTTGATGTTCACTTTAAGCCTGATGAAGGGGACCCTGTGCGGCCCCGAAAGCGCTTGATCCCACTTTGAGTGACTTCTAAAAATAAAAATGTAGATTCACTAAAACTTTGACGTATCCTGTCGTATTTGGAGTGCTGGTGACATTTACACACAACGATTTGACTTGACACGGCGCCATCTGTGGTCACTGCGAGCACCCATTTTTTCATATGGGAAGTCCGGTAAGGTGTGCTACAGGTCCTTGGACACTTCTACCTGCCATGGCTCCAATGATACCTCATAGCAGCACAGAAGAAAACCTTCTAAAAGAGGCTCCCGTAGTAGGGTTGCCACCTGTCCTGAAATTACCTGGACAGTCCGGGTTTTGAGTCCTGTACGTGCTGTGTCAGGGTTTGAGCTGGCCAGGACATACAGGACTCAATACTCGGACTGTCCAGGTAATCAATGGCCTCACTGTTTTTTTTGTTTCTTTTTTTGATTGGACAGCTTGGACCAATGGCGCTTTGCCATTGGTCTAAGCCATCCACAGAGCTCACGCCTCTAACAAGGAGTAGAGGTTGTGACAGCTCTGGCTTCAATAATTAGGTTACACAAGCAGGGGAAGCCCGCTGCTGTGTAACCTAACTTAGCTGTCAAAATATGGATGCAGCGCTGCCTGTAATTAACAGGCAGCGCTCCGTCCATGACAGGTTACAGAGCAGGGAGGATTTCCATGTTGTGTAACCTGTTAGAAGCCGATCTGATTGGAGAAAAAGCTGTCAGCTTCACATTTGAACTTCACAGCAGCTTAGGTTTACAGTTTTAGATAGAGGCACGGAGCATGGTGGAAATTAGATTAGTGGCAGTATGCTGTTACCTCCTTCCCTGCACTGATGATGAGAGGCAATGTTGTTCAATTTCCCCCGACACACACACACTTGCATTGATGGTCAGTAGCAGTGCCGTTAACCTCCCACCACTGCCCCCAACATTGTCAGTGGCAATGTTTTTTAAACCCCCCTCCTTCTGCATTGGTGGTCAGTCGCAGTTCTGTTAACCACCTACTACTTACCAGATCTCATGTTCCTGTGCAGCTCTGGCTCCCTGATGACTCCCTGGGACTATATTTCTACTGTCAGGTAGAGATCACTTTGCCTGATAGTACTGGCTTTATGTCAATGCCAGGTGCTGGAATGCAGAGAGCCACTTCGCTGCTCAAGTGCCCAAAAGGTGGCAGACAGCCCAGGATGTGAGGGAGCTGTGTGTTGGGCACCAAGGACCTAATGAGTCAATGACCTAAGGCAAACATGTAGTAGGGTTGCCACCTGTCCAGGATTCACCCGAACAGTCCTGGTTTTGAGTCCTGTATCTGTTGTGTTTGTGTTTCAGGCCAGCTGAAACCTGGATGCAAATTGTCATGATGTCAGGGACGGGGGCAACCATGGGATTCTGCTGTTCCAACTTGAGTGCATGGATAAGGCATTCGACATGGAGGGACACTAGAACTTGGGGAGCAAGTCTGAAACACAGGGTATGGATACGTCTTGAAGGGCTCAGAGGTTCTGCTTCAGGCAGATGTGTTGCTTGCTATCTCTCCTCACTCTCTCTCCTGGCTGTCTCTCCTAGCTCTTTCCCTGGCTGTCTCTCTCCTCACTCTCTCTCCTGGCTGTCTCTCCTAGCTCTTTCCCTGGCTGTCTCTCTCCTCACTCTCTCTCTCCTGGCTATCTCCCATCACTCTCTCTCCTGGATTGCTGTCTCTCCTCACTCTCTCTTGTATATTCCCAAAAAAGAAAACTGCTGCACGGTGCTAGAGTGTTCGGGTTTCGCTTGAAGAAAAGGTGGCAGCACCAGCATGTATACAGTGAGCTTTGAAACTCTTGTTGCAGATCAGGAATTTACTACACCAGGATGAAGAAACACAACAACGACAGCTACCATATTACTATCCTCACAGGTTGACTTTAATATAAAAAGAGTATAAAGCCAAATAAACTCGTCTCCTCTACTCACTGTTGTGCGCTTTCTGTGTTGATCCGGTTGTTCTCCCTTCGGTGTCTCTGCAGTGAATGGTTTACTTTTACACTCAGTGGCAGTATTTATAGATCCTTGTTACAGACTTTTTTGGCATTCTTCAGATCTGGCTGAATTCCAGCTTCTCTCCGTCTCCTCCCAGCAATAGGAAACACTATTATAATGTGACACTGGCTTTCTGCAGATCATTTATTATCATGTATTATGCTCAGTGCAAAGGTTAGTAATTGTGGGATAATAGATATGCTGGCTTAGTTGGTTATTTTTAGCTAACCTCCCATATAAAAGAGTCCGGAGACTTAGAATTATGAAATTAAAAACACACACACCAATAGACTGTAGAGAGAGCATAGCTGGGGAGCTCCCCAACAGGTCCAACCCACTACAGGCTGCCTGTAGAAAACTACAAGAGGGCTGGAGACAAGACCAGTCACCCTGCACAAGTTGAGATATCAGCATTGAGCAGTCTTTATTACAGGAGGGAATGGAGGCAAGATCAGTCACCCTGCACAAGGAGAGAGAACAGCAGTGAGCAGTCTTTATTAAAGGAGGGGGCGGAGACAAGAACAGTCACTCTGCACAAGGAGAGAGAGCAGCAGTGATCGGTGTGTGTTCCTGAAACTGCTCCAGAGCTTGTGTTTTTTTCATCTATCCCAGCCCTCCTGGCTCCTTCCTGGGGAAGCCATGGAGGTCGGAGGGGCCTCTCCTGCTGGGAGCTCTCAGTCTCCTGGGCTGATGAACGGTTCTTTATTACAGGAGTGGGCGGAGATAAGACCAGTCATCCAGCACAAGGAGAGAGAGAGCGGCAGTGACCGGTCTTTATTACAGGTTGCCATGCTCACTCCTTCACTACCTCCCTGTTCTGGCTGAGCCCTCGGAATGTTCATGTAATAGATCGGAGCTTCCAGGTGCTTTGACTTGAGCAGCCAATAGTGCATGTGCTATTTTTTGCGATCTCACCTCACTGGAACGCAGGGCATTGCGGTACCACACGCGCTCCGCAGGCAGGAGATGTATCTGCGGTGCCATTGAACTGATTGTTCACATCTACAAAAAAAGTCAGACACCAGGTGCAGTTTTTTTTAATTACAAAATATTTTATTGGTTCAACAGTTTTAGAAAATAGGAGTGATATCTCTCTCTATATATATACAATATACTGTACAAGTTGTCACACGTGTGACTCATGTCTTATAAGTGAACACATTTAAAGAACACATAAGCAGTGTGCAGTATACGTTCAGTATAACACAGGGAAGGAGCTACAAGAAGTATAGAGTATGAGCATGGGAAAAAAGAAGAAACACACTGCATGGGCTCTCCGGGTCTTGGAATATCACTTTCCCCTTTACATGCATATCTATGTTACCCATTATGTATCATTAAAGCACAAGGCGACCTAACTCCCAAGTTCCACATTACAGCCGGCGCGTCAATGTATCAGTTCTGAAAATAATGTTCATCGTGTATCTTGAACCTTATGCATGTGAAGACTCTTCATGTATGCACAATGGGAGATAGTACATTTCAGCCAAAGGGAAATTGTTAATGCAAAAGAGAAAAATGTGAATAGAGCAGATACATTGGCAGATCCTGTATGCTTTTTCTGCCCATCTCTTTTTCATTCGGTCGGATATTTGTAAGCGGACATAGCTTAGATTATACTACTGTGATTAAATATGCATATTAGGTGCGAGGTATTGCACAAAGCTGGTAAGATTTCGGTCTACGTATTGCTGCGACTGCTGGTTCAAGGTCTATCTCAGCCCCTGGGGGAGCCTGGAAGGTGAAGTTCTGGAATATTGATGTGAAGAAGAGGAAAAGTTCAATTTTGGCCAACGTTTTACCAGCGCAACTTCTTTTGCCTAGAGAAAGTACACAACAAGGGTATTTAGAGTGAAATCAACTTTAACTGCACTGTTCAGTTCTTTCCTGAGCACCTATTGCTCTGTATGTTGCCACGTAGGCATAAATAATCATGAAGATCAACTGGAAGCCATTGAAAACCCTTACTGAAGATCAATTCCCATTGAAAGCAAGCTTTCATATTGGCTCTGAGGGTTACACAGCAACTGGTTATAGTCATGACTCTGTGCTATTCATCCTCCCTCATTCTAACACTGACCACACACATAGGGGTCTATTTCTAAACAGTTTACAGGGCCATACCCCGTGAATATGTGAGAACGCTCGTTTTGTGTGGATACATGCCAAAATGAATGTTCTTTCCTTGTTTTTTTTACAAAGTAATGTATTTTTTTTCAGTGTCCACTAGATGGTGGACGTTACATAGTTACATAGTGTTTGAGGTTGAATAAAGAGCCGGTAACTGACTGAGAAGTCAGCCCAGTTCTCCACGAACCCGAAGCCCTCTTTCCAACACCAGCTCCGAAGCCACTTGTTCCTATAGCTCCGTCTTGTGGTCATAGTGTAATATTACATTAAAACAGGGACCTGCAAATTGTCTATAAAAAGATAGTGATAAACAATCTATCATACTGTAGATTTGATTTGTTTAGAACAAATATTTGTTTCACACAACAATAAAAAGACGGATTTGGTCTAATTTAAATGGATTTTTCACAAGGACAAATCACCCTGTTCCATAAAAATGGTCAATCATGATTCAGAGTGATCGAATATTGCAGTGCAATTGATTTCAGAAAGACGTGATCTATTTATTCAAATAGTAGTTATTTTGAGCAATTGCATAAAGTATACGTGAACATGAGACAGCGAGGAGCCTACAATGGGAGGAAGGAATACTTGATTGGTTCAGGTAATGATCTTCAAAATGTTTTGTAAACTTTATGGAACTGATCAAAACTACTTTGTATCTTCCCAGTGATTAGAATTGTACCAACATGGTATTCTTTAAGATTTACCGATAGAGAATGGGATGAAGGCATCATTCTGTTTGAAATTTCCTTCTTCATCCAGAAAGTGCTCCGGATAAAACTCAAAGGGTTTTTGGAAATAGGCTTCATCTTTCAGTGCGGAGCAGAGACATGTGACGACAATGGTGCCCTGCAAGGATCAAAAGTCAATGAAAAACTGAAAATACATTTATATATAAGAAACCATTTCAGCAGTCAGTTTTGAAGCATTATTTAAATTTTAAGAAAAAAAACATGATTTGGGGGATCGGAGTTGAGAAACAACGTTCTGCATTTTCAGAATCTGTTAAAGCCCAACTAGCATATTATTTTTTGTCCTGAGACACTCTTGGCCTGAGAGCTGCTGTAGATTTAATCTGTACATTATTACACCAATAGGTATTGAATGTTACAAAACATTATGTAGTCACCTTTGGAATGAAATATCCTCTAAATGTGACATCTTGAGTTGCTTCATGCGGGGTCCCAAATGGTGCGATATCAGCAAACCGCTGGCTTTCATGAATCACGGCATCAGTGTACGGCATTTGCTTCCTGTGCTCTGCTTGAGGTTGGGCCGTGCCGATAATGCTATCAATTTCACCTCGAACTTTCTCTGTCAAGGAATAGATACCGTGACAGACATTTCTTATTGGCTGTCCAGGGGTGGGGTCTTCTCAGGATCCATTTGACATTATTAACTGGACAGTGGACTTAAGTGAGTAAAACATGCTTTGCATGGTGTAACAGGGTGCCAGTAAAACCAGCCAGGTTGGCAGGAAAAGTGATAGATGGTAGATACGGATCCTTAGATTCATCATCTAAGGTAATGCCAGCATAGATTTGGAGGTAAAGAAAAATAGCTCTTTACCTTGTATTGGTAAAACAAATGCTGTGGCTGGTGTTACTAGGAGTCTGATAGAGCTCTGGGTGGGACAGACTCCTAGTTCCATGGACCGTAGTTTAGTGAAGACTGCACAGGACTTCATTAGTGTGCAGCTGCACCTAGCTGAGGGGGAAGTGTGTGTCTCAGTGCAAGGAGAGACAGTGTGCTGAATGCAGCAAGTTCTGTGTTTGGAGCCAAGCCTGTCAGCAGGACAGGGTTCTGTGGATGGACTGTAACTCTCCCCATAAAGGAAACGGACCCAGCTCAGCGGACTATCGGTAATACCCAGTAAGGCTCAGTGGAGCGGACTTTTATTTGTTTATGACAATTACATTTTTTTGGCTGGATGCCTGTAACCTTTTTTTTGTTGATTGATTGCTGTCTGGAATTAAAGCTGGCATTTTTGGTTGAAGAGACTGCGAGTTTGCTCTACATTGAGACTAGTTCTCTACAATGGTAACAAAAAAAACCTCACAATTGAAGTGGTGAGAGAGGGTAGAAAGGAGCTGTGATTATTTTACTTTAATTATGACCAAATATGAACAAAGGGTTATTTTTTTCCCCAGAGATGAGTTTTAGTTGTGACCAAATAAAACATCAAATAAGTTTTGTTTTTTTTTAAACTTGATTTCTTACTTTGTATTTCTGGATATTTCATCATTAGCAGTATTGCCCATCTGAGTGTGGTGGTAGTTGTGTCCATTCCGGCCATAAAAAGATCATTCACCAAAAAGGTTAAGTTTTCATTGTGAAAATACTGAGAGGATTCTGTTTTCCCCTAATGAAAGGAAAAGTAAATAATGAATATATATGAGTTAATAATTCCTATTTATCCGCAAGCTACCAAGGTATGTGTTGATGTTTACTAATGGAACCAGAGCTATCCAACAAGTGTCTGCATTTCTTGTGGTGGTGGGGGCTAACTCATGTGACTAACTAGTATGTTTTCAGAAGTTATAGATTTAAAGGGGTTCTAAACCCGGCATTTTTTTTTTTGCCTATATCTACGGCTATCCAGCAGTAGATATAGGCAAAACGTTTTTTTTAAAACAAATGCTTTAACAGCGGTTTAAACTTACCTTGTTTCGCTGCGCGCTCCCGTCCGAGAAAACGAAACTGCTCGGGCGGCCGCAAAGCATCTTGGGGCGGGCGCATGCGCAGTTCGGATTGTCAGCCGGGAGTCGAGCAGAGACACAAGGTAAGTCTATGGACGCGTGCACCCGCATGCAGACACCGCTGGATCGGAGAGTAGAGAGGAGTCAGCGCTGGATCAGAGAGCCGCAGCACAGCTGGAGGGACAGATGAAAACATGGGGAAAGAAGAGGAAGATCGGATCATTTAAGCTAAGTGCGAACATTTACATTGGGGGAGGGGGAAAAAATTATCCTTTACTGTCACTTTAACCTTAAAACACCATGCTGTAGTCTTGTTCAGTCCTTTATAAAATGTATTATTTATAATTAAATGCCATCAAATCATAGTTGACTCCTGGTGACCACATGTATAGGTTTTATCTAGAATGACCGGTCTTCTCTTTGTGATTTTAGCATCTATGACTTTATTCAGCTCCCTTATTGCTGACCTATGTCTTCTCTTTCCTTTAACTTTTCCAGTTTAATTATCTTTTCCTGTTAATTGGTTCCCTTCATTTTATGTCCAATATAAGACAGCATCAGCCTAGTCATCTGGGACTCAAGTGAAAGGATGGACTTGATTTCCTGACGGATCAATTTGTTTGTTATAATTGTCTTTTATGTGTAGCATTCCGCTGACCCTCAAAGGCATGTAAGGGACACCAGAGGCTGACATTTAACCTCAGGAATGAGTCCTTAGCTGGTTGTGGAATAAGATTTTATTCCTCCAACAGTTCACATGGTTTAAGGACTACAGACACCGAGGACAGTAGCTTAGAACAGTCTGAAGACTCACTAACTGCTTTCCAGCTTCATAATTCAGAGGGCATTTAAGCCGATGGTAGTGACATTGTGTACGGCAGAACTTCAGCTTGTTAGCAGACAGCAAAGAACTATCTGGACGAGACACCAAACTCCCTCTCAGGTCCAAGCCACATTTCAGCTTCTCTGGCACCTCTTGCAGACAAGTTTCCTCACTGGTGCTTCTTCCCAGGAGCAGCTTCCCCCTGCAATGGAAGAACAGCTGTAGACCCCAACACTGGGTCTCCATTTCTGACCATATGCAGGCCTTTCCTTGGGGTGCAGGGCTGGCCAGATCGCACAGTACTACACAGACCCTCCCCAAGGCAGGAGCCCGGGAGAAAGAGTCACTCATAGGGGGTGATTTACTAACCTAAACACACGCACGCACTAGGTGCGTGTGATTTTTACACAGCAAAACGTATTTATCAACCAAAAAGTCTCTAAAAGCATATTTCCACTAATGCCATATATGGAAAAATCATGCACATGATGCATATATAATGCTGCTTCACAGTTTAGACAAAAATGGTTAGCTCATGCATTTACATTCCTGCATTCATCAACGCAAGCAACACAACATAGAGCTAATTTACACAAGATCACCTTGCAAATTCATGCTTGGCTTTGCACAATACACCTGCTGGGTGTGTACACACTACAAAGGTGTTTAGATTCCACCCATAGATCATGCTGGGAGGGAACACACTACAGAGGTGTATACATGTTCGTGGTGTGTTTATAAGGTTAGTAAATCAACCCCATAAAGTCAGCCCTGAACATTAAAATCCTCCAGCATGCACCACTGACTATGAATCATCTAGTGATTGGCTAGGCAGACGCCTATATTCATAATTCATTATTAGATGTTCTGCTCTATTGCAAGGTCACACCCAGCAGGAGGCATATACAAACAAGAACACTGAGCTTAGGGAAAACCAAATGAGCAAATAACTATTAATCAACTTAGACTGGATACAGTCCAGCAGAACTAATTTCAAGGAGTCACACTGTTTAGGGCAAGGTGGCTATTTATTTATTTGCCAACACTGAGATTTAAAGTTCAAAGGCATCGTCATCATCCAGCTATCATATCCATAGTGACAGAAAACACTATAGTCTGAATCATTGTAATCATTGTACTAGACACATAAGTACCTTTGGAAATCTTCTCTAGATATTTTGTTTTTGATCTTCCATGGGCCGGTCTATGTTTTATTTCTTGACTGCTGGATTTTTTTAGCTAATAATTGATCCAAGTAAGTGGAAGCTGTCTTCTATATCTGTGACTTCACCATCAATGTCTTTCTTGTTTTAATAACTAATTATATATATATATATATATATTTCAGGTCTTATCTATTCGCTCTGCTCTTTAACTTTCTCTTTGAGGCTTTTGAGGTCCTTCTACATTTTCTCCTGTGAGCATTGTTTCACCAGCATATGGAAGATTGTTGATGTTTTTTACACCAGTCTTGGGCTCTGTGAATCTGAATGCATGCAGCAGAACCCATTACACAAGGGGAAAGTAGTATTGAGATGTGAATGCTAAAGGGTGACTTGTGAGTGGATAAGTAACAGCTGATGAGCATCTTAATATTTTTGGTGACTTTGTATTAAAACGCAACTGCCAGGTAAAGATTGAAGATGAACATATGCATGCCGTACACACACCTAGAGGGACCGGAATGTATCTTCAGTACTCCGCAAGTGAACTTCAAATCTCACAACCTTCTAGACATGTGCGATTCATTTAGTTCCGAATCAAAATTTGTACAATTTTTCCGACATTTGGACATTCAGACACATCCGAATTTACCTCCTCTTCTCCCGGTCCGTCCGCTCCTCCTCACCCCCGGTCCGTCCACTCCTCCTCTTCCTCTGACGGCTCTTCAGCCCCGCCTCCTGCCTCCTCTACATATGCAGGCTGAGAGCCAAACCCAGCCAGCTATTGGATATTTTAAAATGCAATAGCCAATAGAAGGCTGGCTATTGCACCCGCCCACTGTCAATCAGCATGGGAGGACCTGATGGAGAACTCTCTCCTTCAGGCCCCTCCTCTGCTGATTGACAGCAGTCAGTGGGCAGATGCAATAGCCAGCCTGTTATTGGCTATTGCAATTTGAAATATCCAACAGCAGGCTGGCTATTGCTCCTAGCAGTAAATAAAAAAATTAAAATAAAATAAAGTTAAACTAAAATTAAAAAGACAAAAAAAAGTTGAAAAAGTTAACTAAATAAAAATGTAAACAAATAAAAAAAAGTTTATAACAGAATTTAAAATAGAAAAAAACTTTTTTGGGTGTCATTTTGAATAAAAGTTTTTTTTAAATTATATTATCTTCTGAACAAGGGGAACAGACAGCAAAACAAACGTGACCCTTCCCTATGCTATCCAAAACTAAAAAATGTTTTTTTTTTGGCCGGAGTTACACTTAAAAAATGTACCTGTTCCGACTTACATACAAATTCAACTTAAGAACGCACCTAAAGTCCCTATCTTGTATGTAACCCAGAGACTGCCTGTACATAATACTAAAGCTGATGCTTCAAGTCCGAATTTCCGAATAGCATTTGGGAGCTCCTGAATGCCTTTCAGATCTGGAAGCCTCAGCTTTAATATTATGTACGTATATAGCTCCCAGACACGTATTGCTTTCTGGAGCTCCTGAATAGGGATGGGCCGAGTATTCGATTCGAACATTAGTTGGAATCGAACATCGGCAGTTCGAGTGCTCGCCGAACGCCGAACTTTATGGGATGTTCGCGGTTTGTTTGACTGCGGACATTCAATAATACAAAATGCCCACTGAATCTCTGATTTGTTAGTCTTGCACCTGATCACATTTGCCCAATCAGGGCTCAGCGGAGGAGGGGCCTGAAGGAGAAAGTTCTCTATCAGGTCCCCCCATGCTGATTGACAGCAGGCAGTGGGCGGGTACAATAGCCAGCTTGCTATTGGCTATTGCATTTTACAATATCCAATAGCAGGCTGGGTATGGCTCAAAGTCTGCAGATGAAAAGGAGGCATGGGGGCGGGGCAGAGGACAAGCGGCCGGACCGGGGGAGCGGAGGAGCCGACGGACCGGAGGAAGAGGAGCCAATGGACCGGAGGAAGAGGAGTGGATGAACCGGGAGAAGAGGAGCGGACGGACCCGGGAAGAGGAGCGGACGGACCGGCAGAAGGCGAGGTGCCGCGGCCAGACGGGGGACCGGAGAAGCAGACGGACCAGGGGAAGACAGCAGCAGAGGTACGGGGGCAGCGGAGCAATGCAGCGGTCTGTGTCCCCGCTGCCTCCGCCAACACAGGCGGGGATTTGAAGGGACACAGGCCGCTGCAGCCACATGTACCGGCAGCTGTACCCCCATACCCTTGCATTGAGTTTGTACTCGAACATTTCGGCGGTTCGAATACGAACCGAACACGGAGGTGTTCGGCTCATCCCTACTCCTGAATGCTATTCGGAAATTCGAACTCCTTAATGCCATTCGGGTCAGGGCGCTTCAGCTTTAGTATTAATATCTGTATATGGTTTTCTGTGGTATTCGCAACGAATATTAGTTAGTAAACTCATCTGAAACTAACGAAAATTCGGATTTCGTCCGAATCCGCAACCCTGAACCAAATTGAATTTCGGACCTGAATCTCGAAATAATGAAAAATCCGAACCAAATTTTTCCGCAGCTTACATGTCTACAACCTTCTAAACTGCAAGTTTGAACTTGCTGAAGATCAGTCTACCCTTCCCACCCACCAAACCTTTCTATTGCTCCATCACTATGACAGGTGGGCTCACTAGTTAATACAAAGGTTTTGGAAAAGGTGGCTTGACCTTCAAAAATTTACAAATAAGTGAATAAGTGATAATTAAATGTATCATTATACCTGTGAATATCCATTCTGAATACCAAACACTCAAGATCAGTTAAAGGAGAACTATGAGGTGAGCGATTTCCTCATCCTCATAGTTAGAGCCGACGTGTGACAAAGAAACTGTCACAGGTCGGCTCTATCGATCGTGAACTGAGCAGAAACATGAACGGGATCCGTCCCGGCTGCAGCGCTCACAGTAAATCACGGGCTATACTAAGCATTGGGTCACGGGAGGACGCTAGTATATGTCCTCCCGTGACCCTAAAGAGAACTATGGGGAAAAACGACATAGTTCTCTTTTAACTCATCTCTAATGAAATGCAATCCTTACCTCTTGCTGCTTCACCAGGAAAGCATCGATAAGATTCCTCTGGTCATTTACATCTAGATGTTTCTTCTGTTCAGTAAATGTTGCTCTTATAAAGTTTTCCATCTGTTTCATATTGTCAAAAAATGTTTGATGAGGTCCTGGAATATGGTCCAACAATTTTGGAAGGACATTGTACAGCTTTTAAAGAAAAAACATA